TGGAAGTGCCGGGAGCAGCCTCTGGGCAGTTTCCTCATCAGTCCCACCGGGCCCACGGGCCTGTCGGTTTCCAACACTCCCTAGCCATTGGAAGCTTCGGGGCGTTATTTACAACTGACCACACCCTGGACTCACCCAGGTGCTGAAGCAGGGGGTCCTTCAGTTTGGGCCTGTGCATTGTATCTTATGAAGGTTCTCCAAGGCTTTGGATACTGTGGTGGTGGACTTCCAAAATGGTCTTCAAGAATTCTGCCCCTGGTGTGCAGGCAGGCCTCTCGCATGTGGGAGGCCTGCGGCCGTGATGCGTTTTGTGTCTGTGGCTGTGCCTTGTGATGTGATGAGTGATGTAATTAAAGTCCCAAGCCACTTGTCTGTGGATTAATGAGAAGGGAGACCATTTGAGTGGGACTGACCTAATCAACTGAGTCCTCAAACAGGGCAGGTCTTGCTGAGGTAGAATTTCAAAGTCTGGGAGGGATCTTCCTGCTGACCTTGAGGAAGGAAGCACCACCTGGGGATTGTGGAGGTGCTCTCCTGGCTGGAAACAGGACGGATGCAAATGCTGAGAGCAGTTCTCACCTGGCAGCTAGCAGGAAAGTGGGACCTCCGTCCTGAGAGCCAGGCACTGAGCTCTGCCAACAGGGCCCGCCCGGCTTCCAAAGACCCCAGTCTCAGCAAACACCTCAGTGTCAGCTGGGAATTGAGACCCCAAGCAGGGATGTAGCTTTGTGTGCCACAGAAACAGGAGCCGGCTACTGGACCTGCTCGCGTGGGGATGTGGGCTTGGCCGTGCACCAGAAGACGGCTTGGAAGCCACTGCCCAGGTGGCTCTCCTCTGTCCACTCTGAAATGAGCTGCTGGTGCAGCGGAACTCTTTGCCTCCCAGTCTGGCCAGTGTTCTGCCTCCTGGAGATGATTCCCGACTCCCAGTTTTGAAGTGAGAGATTGAGGGAGAGACACAGGCTCACGGTGGTCAGCACCCATGGCCACCATGGCATTCAGCCCATGGATGGGCGGTGAACTGTAAAGCCCAGGCTGACCCATGTCGGGAACAGCCAGGCGCTCTCAGAGCCACAGGGACAATGAGTGAGGCTAGTGACCCTGGGGAAGTGGCTATCCCAAAACAACTTCAAGAGGTGGTGCCTCTGGGGGGTCAGCAGGGGCCCATGGGCACTAAAAGGCCAAGTCCATGGAGACAGCAGCACCTATGAGGAATGACGGGGCCTGTGGGGACAGCGCAGGGGCAGCCTGGTCTGGAGGACTGTGAGGGGCAGCAAGAGGGACCCTCGTTCCCACAGGAGTCACTGGGGGCCTGGCCTGCTCCAGCACAGGGCAGATGTTGGGAGCAGGGTGGGTGTCGCTGGACACAGCAGCCCTGGCTGGTGTCCCGGGGGTCACTGTGGGGTGTGCTTGAGGCCTGCTGGGAAGGTGCTGTGGCTGGGCTCCCCTAGGGTGGTGGATGGAGGCAGCTCCTCCCCAGGCTCTGAGCCCTGTGGTCGCCTTGTGGCTGCTGGGGAGCGGACCCCTCTGGAGCACAGCCTGTTCAGGGGCCCGGCTCGTTGTTTTTGTCTTTGGTTTTGGATTTTTGGTCGTAGTGATGAAACCCAGGCTGCCCTACCAGTGAGCCATATCTGCGCCCTTTTTATTTTTATTTTATTTTGAGGCAGGATCTTGCTAAGTTGTGAGGCTCTCTGGCCTCAGCCTCCCAAGTTGCTGGGAGTACAGGTGGGCACCCGCGCCCAGCCTGGTGGTCTCCTAGGTCATCTTGTTTTCCATCCCACTTCCAGGTTTTGAGATGGTTCTCTTGGTCTTCCTTAGAGGAACTCTTGGAGGCAGCCGGGAGGACCCTGGTGCCTGAGGCTGGACAGGCATGGAGGTACTTTACTGCGGACGTCCCTGTCCCACAGAATGTCCTTGGGCCTTTGGTTCTTCCCAGTGTGTGTGGCTTGCTTTATTTTGTCCCCGTGGTGACCCTGGCAGGTGGGGTCTGTTTCTTCCTCCTGTTTTTTGGGCGTAGAGGGATAAAGCCATGTGGACCAGGACACTACCCAGCGTTGGGCCGTAGGGCACCTGGCTGGTGGCCATGCCTCTCCGACTCCCGCTCCCGGCCCTCAGGAGGCCAGGACCGGTCCTGATCCCCTGCCTCGCGGTGGCTGGTGGGTTCTGTGAAGGAACCTTGCTGCGGTGGCTCGCGCTGACCTCACACTGGTGGCTCTGTTCCATCACTGGGCATTCTGGGGGGCAGAGCTCCTTCCTCAGACCCCGCTGGCGAGGCCCTGCTGGCCTGGAAGGCTTCCTTTCGTCCCTCTGGCCGGCTGGCTGTTGCAGTGATGGACGCTTGGGGATCTCTGGTGCTTCTGCTGCGGGTCTCGCTGGGCTGCCCGCCTCTCTTGTGCTTGCCTCAGGCAGACGGGGTCCCTGACCATGGAAGCACCACCGACCTGACAGGTAGCTGTCCAGGGGAGGTTCAGGGGAGGCCAGGCGGGGGGTGGCTGGTGCCCGCCTTTCACGGCCACAGGCCCTCTCCCCAGGCAATGAGGAGTCCCAGCGGCTCAGCAACCTCTCGGAGATGCTGGCGAAGGGCTACAGCATCATTCCTTCTGGAACTCCCGCGACCTTCTCCCCTGCTCCAGGTGCGTCTGCCATGCTCGCTCGTGGGGCGGGTGTGCCGGGTGCTGCTCCCACAGATCTGTGCAGTGCCCCCAGACAGGCACCCTGGGAAGCCAGGCCGAGTCCTCCACTGCCTGCCAGCCTGCTCTCGCCTTAGGGACGGTGCTGGCCTCCGGTGGGCCCACTTCAGAAGCCACCAGGGAAGCCCACTCCCCCCAGACCACAGGGAAGGTCTGACTTCCATCACAGCTTGGTCCTTCACTGCCACTTGTCTTTCTGTGTCACTGTCCCCTCCCCTAAATGGGAATTAAACCCAGGGCACTCTAACACTGAGCTACATACCCAGCCCTTTTTATTTTTATTTGAGACAGGGTCTCACTAAGTTGCTGAGGATGGTCTGGAACTGTCAATCTTCCCGCCTCACCTCAGAGTTGCTGGGTCGTAGGCCTGGGCCACCATTCCCAGCTTATGCTCTGCTTTTTAACCCGAGAACGGGAAGCTGTTTATCTTAAAACAGCAGAGCCCACCCTGCCCGTCTGTGAGTGTGCTGCTCATCAGCAGTCTTGGTCTGGACCTGGGAGAGGCTGTCTGCACCTCGTCCTAGTGTGCAGCATGTATCGTGTGTGCTGTGTGTCTCAGAAGGGGCTCTGTGCTCGCCCGCTGGCTCTGGCCCCATCTGTGACACAAGCTCTGGGGCCTACATGTCCCAGCTCACTGCAAAGGTGCACAGCATCCAAACACATGGTTTTCTGGTCGTTTTTCCTCTTTAAAGTGCCAGGGACAGAACCCAGGGCCTGTGCGTGCTGCGCCAGGGCTCCACCACAGAGCGGCACCCAGGCCTGACTAGTGCCCCTGAGAGTCTGGCTCAGGAAAGGAGGCTCTGGGTGCCACCAGCACCTCACAGTGTCTCCTGGGTGTTGGGCCCCCGACCAGCAGCCTTTACATCTAGAGAGGCGGAGACCGTCAGGCTCCCTGTCTGATGCCAAGTCCTGTCCTCACTCTCCCTAGTTGACCTGGAGCCTAACTTTGCCTTTGATCCTCTTCAAAGCCCACACAGAGAGACCTGCTGAGCCCACCCACAAGTTCACGGTCTCCGGGAGGACTACAGGTGAGCTGAGGGGCCTAGGAGGGTAGAGGATCCGTTCACACCCGGGGCTGAGCTGGGTGGGCCCCAGGCACTCACCCCAGGGCAGACCACCTCTGAGCAAACTCGAGTGCAGCGTCCCTCAGAGGGTGAGTGGTGAGGGTCCCACTCCACAGAGGAGGACACCAGCGCTGGGGTAAGCTCCAGCTCCCTTTGGGTGACACACGAGGTGTGACCACACACACACAGCAGAGCGGCCTTTCCGGCAGCATCTCTTCCTGCAGATTTGTCCCCTGGAGCACACTGAGGGTGGCCACTGGGCCCTGGTGCTCCTTCTGCCTCTTGAAGTCTGCCCTTCTCTTCCTTTTTTGTGCTAAGGCCTGGCATGACTTGGGTGCTTGCTGTCCCCTCTGCCTTAAATGCACCCCAAAAGGCAGGAAAGAGTAGCCCAGGGCGTAATGGCTCAGGTTGGATCCTCCCTTCCCAGGAGCGTTGGGGGACTGCCATCTACCCATTTCTCTCCCTCCTAGAGAGAGGACTGCTACCTGTCCTTTGCCCCTTCTCTTAGGAGGGGCAGTTCAGGCCCCCAAGCATCAAAGCATGGGGAAGTGCAGAGAAGGAGAAGCAGTCGGTGTAGCTGTGGTCCCGAACACGCAGGGTCTTCCCAAAGCTCAGGGGTGCGCCTTTCACTCACAGGTTCCCAGCACCGCGCCCAGGCACCTAGTGCCCCCCAGGCAATGGGACCCCACGTTTCATGAGCTTGCACCAGGGATGGCCTGTGGAAATGCTTGCTGCTCCTGGGCTTCAGGGGCGATGGCTCTGCCCAGAGGGCAGGGGTGGTTGTCTAATCAGACCCCGGAAAAGAGCAGCTCCTCCTGGGACCTGAGCACTACTGTGTTTAGTTTTGTTTTGGTATTGGGGATTGAACCAGGGACACTCCACTGGTGAGCTTCATCCCCAGTCATTTTATTTTTTTATTTTGAGACAAGGCCTTGCATATACCACCCTCCTCCTCAGCCTCCCCAGTCACGGGGCCCCTTAGCTGCTGATCCTGTGGAGTGCTGCTACCTCCCTTGTGGCGAGAAGTGTGTTGAAACCACACTGCCCTGGGTTATGGCCGGAGCCCTGCGGGGGCAGGTCCCAGGACAGTGCTCTCATGGATGGGACCAGTGCCTTAGAAGTCCAGAGAAGGATCTGGCCTCTGATAGGGCAGCCAGGGGCCCCCAGTGCCCAGTCCAGAGCTGGGGAAGCACAGCTCTGCTGTCCAGAAGCCAACAGGTTTCTGGTGCTTTGGTACAGCAGGCTGCACAGGATGCAGTACACGGCGCATCACAGCATCTCATGACCCTGCCTTCTGACCCCATGGCTTCCTCCAGGGTGCACCCGCCCTCCTTCCCCATCTGTAGCAAAGCTCCTCTGACTCCTCCTCTCCTTGAGCCTGCTCACTTGGGCTTGGTTCTCACACAAGCAGATCCTGCCTCTTCCCTTGTCTCTAATGGCCTCCCGTTGGCCACTTTCAGCCTCATGGCACCTGACCATGAAACTGCTGCTCTTCCCTCTGCAGCATTTTGCTGTGAACACATGCAGACATTCAGGAAGCTGTCAGAGCTGCAGAGAACCCTGGGCACCCATGGCTCACCATCTACGGTGGTCACCTGCACTCCCGGTGCCCGGCGGCCAGGTGGTTTGTGTAGCATCAGGCTGCGTTTCCACCTCAGGGCACTTTCGGCTGTCAGAAAACTCTCCATCCTGGTGCTGGACAGCTGGTGCCTGGGAAGGGGCTGCTGCTTACAGGTTTCTTTAGGCCCCCAGAGTATATGGATCCCATGGGAATGTCACAACTTTTTAACGTGAACAGCAACACTGGAAAAACTACCTCTTAGAAGTTATTACAACAGCCATTTGAGGAAAGTGATTTGTAATGTAGAAAGTTGAAGCTTAGGCAATTTAAGCAGCTTGCGGTATCTACCTGGTAGGTTTGCCTGCAGTGAGATTTCATTCTTCACACTGAAAGGACATCTTTTCTGAGCTGCTGTGATTGAATCTGGAATGACACTGTATATTTTCAACTAACAGAGAGCTAGCTGGGTCTTGAATAAGGATAGCTGCTCTGGATGACTTCAGAACATTGCTTACCATGCATCAAACAGGAGTCAGAATCCTCACAGACTGAAGCAGACTGGCCTTGACCAGATCTGGGATGACTTCAGAGCTGGGATTGAGCAAATGAACACCAGACAAAGCCAAGTCTCAATTCATGGAACTCCACGTATAGCCTCCTGCTGGAGCTGAGATCCATTTGTTTAGAATTTTGATTATCTACTATTTGGATCTTTGAATTATTAGAAATTTTACCTTGTGCTTTCTCTTCCCGGTCCATCCTATATAATAATCACCAACTTTGGAGGAAAAAGAAAATTCTCCATTCTATATCATTGCTGGGACACAAGGTGAAAGAGGCCAAGCATGTGACTGGACATAGACAACTGGCAGGTTTTATAAGTAGCTGAGTAATGTACCTGTTTTAGCAATTGTTTTCTGTTCAACTTGTACAAACAATAATTCCCTAGTAATTGTTTTAAATTTCAGATAATGTAAAGAAGAGCAAAACATCTGAGCTTACAAAGACCAGCCATGGCTTTATAGCACAGACCATAACCCTGAAATCTGACTCTTGGAACAGAGGTTCGTAGAATCCTACCCCAAATTGCCCAGTAATCCCCTTTCATTACAGTACCAGATGACCTGAGGAAATCTAGTCTGATTCATAGAACTAAGCCATTCTCCTTGCAGCTACACGATGACAGGTGAAAAGTACCCATCAATGACAGGTGTTGCTCTAGGGACCAGAATGTCCCCAGATGACAGGATCTCTATGGGGATCAGGATGTACCCAGATGACAGCCACTGTTCTAGGGATCAGTATATCCCCAGATGACAGATGTCATTATAGAAACCAGTATAACTATTGAGCAAGAGATGACTTTGAGGATTGGAGGTAGATTAAAAAAAAGGCAGGATTGGGATCCTGGCTCAGCGGTAGAGTGCTTGCCTAGCATGTGCGAGGCCCTGGGTTCGATCCTCAGCACCACATAAAAATAAATAAATAAAGGTATTGTGTCCAACTACAACTAAAAAATAAAAAAAATATATTTAAAAAATAAAAAAAGGCATCAGAGATTGTTGGGAACTAAAATTGTATTTGTTTATACAGCCTGTGCAATATAGCCTTAGTATATTTAAGAAATTAAGAATATATTCTTAAAGGTATTTTTTGTCTTCTATTCTCTTTGTAATAGCAGTGTGATTAACACATGTTAGTTGAGAAATTCAGCTAAAATGAGATTTTTGAGCACTTGTCTTCTTTCCATGTCAGCAGTGATTCCGCACAGACCTGCTCTTGTTCAAGTGATTCTAATCGCGTGTATAGCCTTCAGCATTGCTCTGGTATGTGGGATCATGGTCTCCTATATGATACAGTAAGTGCATGTGGAAGAACACCCACCATCCTCAGATGACAACTTCATGAGTGTATCATTTAGTGTCAAAGGGTGATGATCCTCCTGATGCGCTAAGTTATTATAGTCATTGTACATTTCCAGACCCATGTTTTCAAAATACCAGTCATGTTTAGGTTGGGTCATGATGTAACTCAAAAGGAAAAGAAAAGAAACAATACAACTTAGTATAACAGAAAACTTGGGAAAAGATTGCAGGTATTAAAGTAAAGGCCCATTTTTGAAACTTTTGGAAAGATACGTGCACATTTGTGAAGAAAGACACATTTCCTGTGGTGGGCTGGCCATGGGAGGGATTTGAAAAACATCAGGCCAGTGTCCTCTGAGTGTGGTGTTCTGGGGTGAGCTTGATACTTTGGAGTCACCCTGGCACAGAAGGAGGAGGTAAATGTGCTCTCTTTTTGTCTGCAAATTTGCTGATGCTGTCCAGGGAAACAGTAGCTTTTGGGGAAGATATTATACCCTCTCAACATAAGTAAAGCTTGGAATCAGGCTCTTTCAGGTGACATGGTATTTTAAAAATTAGTTATAAAGTGGGGGCTGGGATTGTGACAAGAGCACTTGCCTAGAATGTGTGAGGCACCGAGTTTGATCCTCAGCACCACATAAAAGTAAATAAATAAAATAGAGGTAAAAAATTAGTTGTCAACCATGATCCCGGCCCATCTGCTGCCCAGAAGGAGGAGCAGCAGATGACCATGACCCTGGCCTGCCTGCAGCATGGCAGGAGCAGAGTGTCCCTTGAATCCACATTGATAGAGACGAAGACATTCAGACAATATGAAGAAACAAGCGAAGAAAGTGCCCCAAACAAACCAAGCTGATACAATAATAGATTCCACTGACAACACAGTACATGAAATGTCAGAGAAGGAGTTCAGAATGTACAAAATTAAAATGGTCTGCAAAGCAAAAGTGCATCACCAGGATACAGGAAGGCAGAGATACAAGCCAAATGAATGTGCAGTTTCTTCAATGAAACGATAGCAGAAAATTTTCTAAACATGAAGAATGAATTGATTTCAATCAAACACAAGAGGCTTACAGGATACCAGATGTACAAAATTTCAATGATCCACACCAAGGCATACTATAATAAAAATGCCTAACATACAGAATAAGGAGAGAATTGTAAAAGCTGCAAGAGAAAATGATTAGATTACATATAGGGGAAACCAATTTGGATTGCAGCAGATTTCTCATCCCAGACCTTCAAAGCTAAGAGATCCTGGAACAACATATACCAAGTTCTGTAAGAAAATGGATGCCAACCAAGAATCTTATACCCAGCAAAATTAAGCTTCAGATTTGATGACAAAATAAAAACTTCCCACCATAAACAAAAATTAAAAGAATTTACAATGAGAAAGCTGGCACTACAGAATATTCTTGGCAAATAATCCATGAGGAAATGAAAAACAACAATGAAAATCAGCAAAGGGAGGAACTACACTAAAGTAAAATACAATCAAAGGAGAAATCAACTCAAGTTAAAAACCCAAAATACACCAAAATGACTAGGAATACAAACCATGTCTCAATAATAACCCTGGATGTTAATGGCCTAAACCTATCAATTAAAAGACATAGACTGGTAGATTGGATTAAAAAATTAATCAATATGCTGTGTTCAAGAGGCTCATATCATAGGAAAAGACATCCACAGACTGAAGGTGAAAGGATGGGAAAAAACATATCACTCACACGGGCCACATAAACAGGGGTTTCCATCCTAATATCAGATGAAGTGGACTTCAAAGGTATGCTGCTTAAGGGAACCATACACCAATAAGACATAACAATCGTAAATATCTTTGCCCCAAACAATGGAGCATCTACATATGTCAAACAAACCCTTCTCAATTTCAAGAAGCAAATAGATCACAACACAGTAATATTGGGTGACTTTAACACACCTCTCTCACCACTGAATAGATCTCCCCCCAAACAAAAACTAATCAAAGAAACCATAGAACTCAATAACACAATGATTTAGACTTAACAGACATATATAGAGTATTTCATCCACCATCAAGTGAATACACCTTCTTCTGAATAGCACTTGGTTCCTTCTCTAATATAGACCTTTATATTATGCCACAAAGCAACTCTCAGCAAATAAAAAATAGATATATTACCCTGTATTCTAGCAAATCATAGTGGAATGAAACTAGAAATTAATGATAAAATAAAAAATAGAAGCTACTCCAACACCTGGAGACTAAATATTTTAAATGAGCAATAGATAGCAGAAGATATCAGAGAGGAAATAAAAAAATTCCTAGAGGTAAATGTGAATACTGATACAACATATCAAAATCTCTGGGACACTACAAAGACAGTGCTAAGAGGAAATTTCACTGCATTGAGCTTATTCATCAAAAGAAAAAGTCAACAAATAAATGACCTAAAATTACATCTCAAAGCCTTATTAAAAGAAGAAGAAATCAACACCATAAGAAATAGAAGACAGGAAATAATTAAAATCAGAGCTGAAATCAATGAAAATGAAACAAAAAACATTTTTTTTAAAAAATTGAAAAAATGAAAAGTTGGTTCTTTGAAAAAATAAATAAAATTGATAAACCCTTAGCCATTCTAATGAAGAGAAGGAGAGAGAAAACTCAAATTACTAAAATTTGTGATGAAAAAGAAAATATCATGATGACACTATTGAAATACAGAGATAATTAGAAATTATTTTGAAAATTTATACTCCAATGAGAGAGAAAATCTCAATGACACAAATTTCTATAAACATATGATCTACCCAAAGTGAATCAGGAGGACATAGGCAATTTAACATTAATTTCAAGCAAGGAAATAGAAGACGCCATCAAAAGCCTACCAACCAAGAAAAGCCCAGGACCAGATGGATTCTCAGACAAGTTCTATAAGATCTTCCAAGAAGAACTAATAACAATACTCCTCAAATTATTCCATGAAATAGAAAAGAAATTCCAAATTCATTCTATGAGGGTAGCATCACTTTGATACCAAAACCAGACAAAGACACATCAAGGAAAGAAAACTTTAGACGAATATCCCTGATGAACATAGATGCAAAAATTCTCAATAAACTCTGGCCAGAGGCAAACAACAACATATTAGAAAGATTGTGCACCAAAATCAAGTGGGGTTCATCCCAGGGATGCAAGGTTGGTTCAACATATGGAAATCAATAAACATAATCCATCACATCAATAGACTTAAAGACCAGAATCACGATTATCTTAATAAATGCTAAAAAAGCATTCAACAAAATACTGCACCTCTTCATGTTCAAAACACTAGAAAAACTAGGAATAGTAGGATCATACTTCAACACTGTAAAAGCTATCTATGCTAAGCCGAAGGCCAACATTTTATTTTTTTTATTAGTTGCTCAAGACAACACAATGATCATGACATCATACATTTGATTCAAATAAGGTATGAATTCTCATTTTTCCACGTGTACAGATTGCAGGGTCACATTGGTTATACATCCATGTGTATACCTACAGCAATCCTAGTGTCACAAACATCATTTTAAATGGAGAAAAATTGAGAGCCTTCTAAAAACTGGGACAAGACAGGGATATTGTCTTTCATCACTTCTGTTCAACATAGTCCTTGAAATTGTAGCCAGAGCAATCAGACAAAAGAAATTAAAGGGATACACATAGGAAAAGAAGAACTCAAACTATAACTCTTTGCTAATGACATGGAATTGATCCAAAAAAAATTCCATCAGAAAACTTCTAGAACTAATGAATAAATTCAGCAAAGTAGCAGGGTATAAAAATATCCATAAATCAAAGGCATTTCTATACATAAGTGATGAATCCACTGAAAGAGAAATTAGGAAAATCACCTCATTCAAAATAGCCACAGAAAATACAAAATACTTGGAAATCAATCTAACAAAGGAGGTGAAATACCTACACAATAAAAACTACAGAATACTAAAGAAGGAAATTGAAGAAGAACTTAGAAGATGGAAAGATCTCCTGTGCTCTTGGATAGACAGAATATTCAAAATGGCCATAATACCAAAACTGTTATACAGATTTAATGGGATTTCTATTAAAATCCCAGTGAAATTCTTCATAGAACTTGAAAAAGCAATCATGAAATTCATCTGGAAAAATAAGAGACCCAGAATAGCTAAAGCAATCCTTAGCAAGAAAAGTAAAGCAGGAAGCATCACTATACCAGACCTTAAACTATACTATAGAGCAATAGTAACAAAAATAGCATGGCATTGGCACTAAAATAGACATGTAGAACAATGGTGCAGAGTAAAAGAGACAGAGACAAACCCACATGAATACAGTTATCTCGTATTAGACAAAGGCACCAAAAACATACATTGGAGAAAGGAAAGCCTCTTCAACAAATGGTGCTGGAAAAACTGGAAATCCATATGTAGCAAAATGAAATTAAACTTCTGTCTCTCACCATGCATAAAACTGAACTCAAAGTGGACCAAGGATCTAGGAATTACACCAGAGACTCTGCACCTAGTAGAAGAAAAAATAGGCTCAAATCTTTATCATGTTGGATTAGTTCCCAACTTCCTTAACAAGAGTCCTAAAGTGCAAGAAATAAAAGCATGAATCAATAAATGGGAGGGATTCAAACTAAAATGCTACTTCTCAGCAGAGGAGACAATCATTGAGGTGTAGAGACAGCCTATAGTATGGGAGCAAATTCTTACCACATGTACATCACATAGAGCACTAATCTCCGGGATATATAAAGAACACGAACAACTTAATACCAAAAATAAGAAACAACCCGATCAATAAATGGGCTAAGGAACTGAACAGACACTTGTCAGAAGAAGATGTACAAGTGATCACCAAATGTATGAAAAAGTGTTCAACATCTTTAGTAATTAGAGAAATGCAAATTAAAACTACTCTAAGATTTCATCTCACCCCAGTCAGAATGGCAGTTATCAAGAATACCAGCAATAATAAGTGATGGAGAGGATGTGGGGGGAAAAGGTACTCATACAGTGCTGGTGGGACTGCAAATTGGTGCAACCATTTTAGAGAGCAGTGAGGAGATTCCCAGAAAACTTGGAATGAAACCACCATTTGACCTAGTTATCCCATTCCTCAGTCTATACCCAAAGGACTTAAAATCAGCATACTATAGTGACATAGCCACACCAATGTTTATAGCAGCTGAATTCACAATAGCTAAAATGTGGAACCAACCTAAATATCTATCAATAGATCAATAGACAAAGAAACTGTGATATATATACACAATGTAATATTACTCAGCATTAAAATAGAATAAAATTATGGCATTTGCAGGTAAATGGATGGAGTTGGAGAATATTATGCTAAGCTTAGTAAGCCAATCCCAAAAAACTAAAGGGCAAATGTTTTCTCTAATTAGTGGATGTTGATCTATGATGAGGGTAGCATAGGAAGAATGGAGAAACTTTGGATTGGGCAAAGGAGAGGGTGTAGAGGAGTTATGAAGATAGGAAAGATGGTGGAATGAGATGGATATCATCACCCTAGGTACATGTGTGATTGCACCAATGGTGCATCTTTATACTGTATATAACCAGAGAATTGAAATGTTGCACTCCATTTGTGTACAATGAATTGAAATGCATTCTGCTGTCATGTATAACCAAGTATAACAAAAGATTAAAAAATTAGTTGTAAAGTGACATTGTGCTATTGGCCCAGAGTCTACACTGTGCTTCCTACTCCCAGGAGTTCCACCCACCCATCAGAAACAGCCCCAGAAGTACAAATGTATTTGCTCTTTGAGAATTAAGTGTGAGAACAAGGAACATATTGCCACACATGGGATGTTTTTAAGAAAGCCACTCAAAGACCACTTTGGACTAGGTCAACTGAAGGTAAAATGAGATGGGAAGTAAAATGGGAGGTGCTCCACTAACCAGCATGGAGCCTGCTGTTTGGTTCTGGGTTATCTGAGGTGATAATCTGGGTTGACTTAATGGTGTAACTGAAATGTGATTAATTACTATGGGAAATACGTTAACAAATCTCAAAAGCTTCTAACTTAGGTCACTAAAACATTGCTGAAGTTCAGTGCTGGATAAAGCACTGACCTACATTTAACCCTGTGAACATCATCATCTGTGCCACCTGTTATGTTCCTCACAAGTTGCCTAGAGTCTGGGGCAGAAGAAAAAACACATGGCCCAAAAAGCATGCTTTTATGTACTGGTCTATCTCTACTGGTTTCTCTTTCACAGAAGTAGCTTTTGAAAATACTACTGGCAAGTTTACTTTCATTTAAACCAGGAAGGTAAAATTCTAACAAATTCTAGCTTTGTTTTAGATAAAATATTTCAATTTATGTTGTGACTTTCAATTTTTGAATACAATCTCATTTATTTTAGTGTTTGGAAATGAAAAATCACTTAAAATCAGCATTGGGATCCTATCTTCATTTAAGATTTTAATATTTGGCTTATGGTTTTGGGGGGTCATTCATTTCAATTTTTGAAAATATTGTGTTAGTATTTATCTTTGTGCCTGGGTGTTTTGGTGCCTCTTAAACTTTGTTCTTGAGGTGAAGGCCTCATTCTACCCAATATCATGATCAACTTTGGTAAAGTTTACCAGTCCAGTTCTTGCCATCCATAGCAAGCTCTGGATGCTCCCACAACCTTTCTCATCATGGTCCCCTTAAAGTAACTTTCATTACCCAAGTCTCACAGAACTGGGAGGGCAATGATGTCAGGAAAAATCAGGAGCCTGTGTCATGGTCCACAGTGAACAGGAACAGCAGCTCCAGGAGCCACTCCAGGACTGGACCACAGGAAGTGACTTCCCTTCAGTAGCCTCAGTTTAAGGGAGGATCAAAAAACTCAGTAAGCAGGATAAGTACTATTTTAAGGCAGTACTTTTAAAATTCAGATTAATGCCAAAAAAATCCACAGTGACCAAAATATCAATATTTTCAATACAGAACCAGTGACGGTGCTGGGCTGAGCCATGTTATGGAGCCTCAGCAAAAGGAAGACTTTTAATACCCACCCGTCTTTATTCAAAATGTTGTTATTGTGTTTATGATACATTTTTGGCTTTAGTTTTTATTTCATCATGTATTACATTGAATTATGATTTGTCTTGATGGTAGGTTTTCTGTTTGTTTTTACCAACCCCTTAAATTTTGTACCCAATGTGAGTGCCTCATTCACTCCTAGTCCTGGCTTTGATCCACAATTTCGGATTATCAGACTCACTCCTTCCTCCAGAATTTGGCCAGTCATCCCACCCAGAAATCTGAGGTCTTCTCATGATCAGTCTTATTTAATCGCCTGCTTCCTCCTCCATCCCCACTTACCACCTCCTTTGCTGTTAAAATGGTGCATGAGTAAGACAACGATTCATCATGAAAACTGCACCTGAACTCACGTGTTCTTCTCCAGTAGGCTGGTAAAGGCTGAGGAGAAGCAGCAGCTTGCGGAGCTTTATGAAAACATTGAGATACCATATGAGGAAGTTTCTGAGGATGAGTCCACCAGCCTGCTTCCAGAGAACGAGAAGGAGCTGGGGAAGTTCATCCGTTCAGGTAGTGATGGGCTAGTCTGACTAAGTGGATACAAGGTCACACGAAAGCTCGGCCAGCAATTTTTTAATGGTTTAGTTTGTAAAAGCAAAGAAAAGTGGGAGATAGTGGATTCCCTGGTAGGAAAGATGGACACCTGTGTCCATACCCACAGAAGCAACCATTCTCCTCCAGTCCTGGAAGGCGGATGGCTGTGTGGCTGCTTGTTTCCTAATGCATGGTGATCCCAAGGACCCTGGGACAGAGTCCAGGAAGTAAACTCTGCAGAACAGAACTTTCCCTTAAGTATAATTGTTTCTATGACGTTGTTCTCATGTTTAGGACACAGTTATGCAGGCATTTCTCTTGCCTCAGTCTGCTGTGGAGGTAGGTCCAGGATCACAGAACAGATGCCCCTACCCCCAGGGGTGCCTGCCCACTGTGAAGGGGTGGCCTGAATGCTCCTGCACACTGATCTCTGAAAGTTCTGAGATTCTTGGACACCTGTTACAAACTTCTAGAGGGAACACATGTGATTCTGTCTGATCAAGTCATACTGATACCCACCTCTGGATTCCCTCTAACAATTCCAGACATGGACAGCCCAAAAGAGCCAAAAGGCCCAGGAGCCCTTTTCATAACCTAATAGAAAATATTTTTTCAATATCTTTTTGTTACATTGGATGATGACTTTTACTTGTTCTTTTTAAAAATTAGGCATTTATAAAGTTTTTATATACAAAAGGGAAATGACATTAAAATTAAATAACATTTATCATCTCAAGAAGCCCACTGCTTGTTCCTTCATTTCCCATGTTGCACCCTCAATCCTTTCTTCTCCATTCTCATTCCTCACTTTCTCACATCTCAATAATTTCATCTCTACATTTTAGTTATCAAATTGAAAAGGAGGGAAAATATTGAAAAGAAGAAATTGAGGGAAGAGCAAAAGTTAATGAAAGAAAAGATAAAGGATGCCATGTACGGTGCAAAAATGGAGAATCTGTGAAAGCAAGTGGGAGATGCAGGCTGACAAGACCACATGGCAGCGGTGGCTGAGGACGCAGCACGACCTGCTCCGAGAGCCCGGAGAAGAGCACTCCAGAGAAAGCAGCATCGGAAGTTTGTAACAGAAAATAAATTCCTGTGGTCAGCAACCCTTGCTTCGTAGCTCTGATCATCCATGGACAATTGTAGCTTGATTGGAGAACAGAAGGAATCCAACTGTGTTAAGGGAAAAGGAGAAATTGTCAGGATTTTCTTCTCTTGCTCCTCACAGGTTCAGATAGAGGCACAGATAGTTTCTTTGGGCAGGACCCCATACCATGCTAGCAAAATGCTTTCATTAGACAACACTTTCTCTTTGTCATTTTCTATCAATTCCAGGCATTTATTTGTGACTATTTTACACATGAAGAGACTGAGGTTGCCACAGTAAATGACACCAGATTAAGGCAGGCCTGCGGATGTCAGCTCTCTGGAGCACAGTGGCCTGCAGTGAGGAGCCATAGACATAGCCAAATGTAGCAAGCTGCAAGCCGGGAGCTGCCAAGGGCTGTGAAAACACAGGAGGCAATATCTAGTCTAAATGGTGCAGTTGCTTTGGAAATGTCTGGCAGTTTCTAGAAAGTTCAACACTGAATTACTGCCTGACCCAACAATTCTACTCCTAGATACACATTCAAGAGAATTGAAAACACCTTCCACACAAAACTTTGCACACAAATACTCATAATGCCATTATTCAGAAGAGCTGAAAGTGGAAACCACCCAAATGTCCACCAACTGATAAATGGATGAACAAAATGCAATCTATCCTTACAATCAGATTTTTTTTTAGCAATAGAAATGAAGTACTGATGTACACCACAACATAAATGAATTCAGAAAACATCATGCTACGTGTAAGGAGCAAGACACCTACTATACAACTCCTTTTATACACAGAACAGTCAGACCTGCAATTGCAGAAAATGGGTTAGTGGCTCCAGAGCTGGGGGAAGGATGAAATAGGATTGATTGCTAATGGGAATGGTATTTATTTTGGGGGTAATGAAAATGTTTCAAGATTTAATAGTGGTAATGGCTGTTCAACCTTGTGAATATGCTGAAAACCACTGAGTTGCACTTGTGTTTTTGTGTGTATGTATGCTGGAAATTGAACCAGGTCCTTGTACATGCTCTATCACTGAGCTTGACTTTCAGAACCCAAAAGTGTACACTTTAAAAGAGAATTGCATGGTATATTAATTAAGTCTCAAACGAGCTATTAACAAAAAAGATTTAGTCTAACTTGAGGATGAGCTGAAGACAGACCAGTCTCCTGACTTTTGCTTTCAATTTCCATATTTCCTAAACTTGAAAAATTCTAAAAGACAATGTGACACAGGAACAGGGGTGCTGTGTAGTAGAGGCTGGGGCAGTCTAAAGAACCTTTCAGGGCTGGGGATATAGCTCAGTTGGTAGGGTGCTTGCCTTGTAGGCAGAAGGCTCTGGCTGGGTTCGACCTCCAGCACTGCCAAAACAAAAACCCCCAAACAACTTTCCAGCCAATAGTTTGAAGCTGCATGTGGGGTATAGTGAGGGAAAGAAAGAACCACATATGGGACAGATGTTCCAGTTGGTAGCAGGATGACATAGCAGCCAGGGAGCTGCCTTGATTCACAACTCTCAGGGCCTGGGGGCCTTCAGTGTTCCCAAAGACATCCTTATCTCTGCCCAGCTACTCTTAGACAAAATCCCAACTCAGGGAGGCACTAACGTGAAGTCACTTGCCTTAGTCTGGTTGGCTTTTCTTAACAAGTATCTTAGTTTGGGTGGCTTAAAGGGAAAAAACACATTTATGTCGCATAGTTCTGGCAGCTGAAGTTCAAGATCAGGGTGCTAGCATGGTTGGCTTCTGGTGAGGGATCTTTGAGATGGAAAGGGAGAGAAAATCCTGGCTTTTGTGAGGTTGTAAGTAAGGGTACTAATCCTACTCACCAGGGCTCCACCCTCATGACCTAATTACCTCCCAACATCTCCATTTTCAAATACCATCACAGAGAATCAGAGCTTCAACGTATGAATTTGGGTGGACACATTCAGTCTACAGCAACTGCTTTTCAAAACCCTACCTACAACTATTTGTTGAGCAGCTACCACTGCCATCAGCTTGCTCATTTGATAGACAACATGGCAAAACAAGCTTTAATGTCCATCAACAAATAACACTGCTCAGTTGTGGAACCTCCAAAATCAGTGCGAGGACTAACCAGTCTCCAAAGCCCGACTGGACGGACCAAGGCCCTCCAGTCGTGCCCTGGCGCTTCCCGGCGTCCTTCGCGGCAGCCCCCCTCCTTCCACGGAAACGCGTCACCCAGCCGCGCCTGCGCCGGGGGCACTTCCGCCACACTCGCGCTCGGGGCGGGACTTCCGGAGTCCACTAACAGTGGGGCGGAGTCATGCCACTTTCCTGTGAGGCCGCTGGAATCTGGGAGGGTTGGAGCGGAGCTGGGACGCCGTTCGTGGTGGGGTTTTTAAACGTTCGAGACAGTTAAAGGAAGAACGGTACCAAGGCGACGAGGCCGCTCCCGCACCGGGAGGCGGCACCCCTTCCCTGAGCCCCACGGCGGGCGCAGGGACAAGAGCACCGAGGCAGACGCCCGGGCAGTCCGCTGGGGCTCGGGGAAGAGGCCGCCTCTTCCCGCGGGCTCCGTGTCGGTGCAGGGCGGGGGGACGTGCCTGGGTTTCTGGGCTGAGGAATGGTCTTGTGGTCGTGAAGGGAGAACGTGTTGGGGACAGGACGGTCCTGCATGGCCAAGGCTTTCAGAGGAAGAGTGGGCGAGCAGTGGTTCGGCAGCCAAGGAGTGAGAAGGGAAGACGACACTCAGGCCCGAGTTGAGCTGAGGGTCTCTGGGCTCTCCAGGGTGTGTGGTGCCCGGGGGAGCGGGGCGCAGGGTTTGGTCCAGCCTGGCAGATGAGGCCAGCCGTGCCTGTGATCTCAGAGCGACATGTGCTCAGAGGAGTGAGCAGCGGAGCTGGGCTTTGAAGGTTTGGTGGGCAGAGGAAGACTTTTGCAACTGAGGGATGGCATGTGGGGCCAGAAGTGGAAAGGCGCTGGGTATCAGATTCCAATCAAGCTGGGCAGGAAGGCTTTTGCATTAGGATTTGGGCTGCCACTGCTGTTGGGAACCCTGGGTGCCATGGAAGTTGACTTAGAAGGTTTATTCTGCAGCTCTTTGCCAAGATGAGATGTAAGGCCTGGAAATAAGGCCAGTTGTTTTGGGTTTCTATGCCCTGAGTACAGGTTCTCCCCACTCTATACCCTGGGTAAGGTCTACCAAGTAAGTAAACCTTTTTATCAAGTTGGAATCAGTGCATTGGTAGTGAGTTTTAGTTCCCCACCAGTGATGGAGTAAGGCCAGTTGCATCCTCGTACCATAGGAATCATACTCGAACCATAGGTCACCTTGCCCTCTTGATCCTAGAAAACATGCATCCCACAATTTCTGGTTGTCCATTCTTATCTATAGTGCAGCCCCTGATGGTGTGTGGTTTCTCCTTTCCCAGGTTGGGAATATATGTGACTAATAAGTTGCTTGGATCTCATCTGCCTAAGTGTCATGTGTTGTGTGTTTGCCATCCCCATAACCCTAGGGGACAGTTCTGCTCTCACCAATGGGGTACAAAGGGGAATGTGAAGAGGCCAGGGAAATGCTTAGCATGGGGCCATGAGAGGGTTGTGATGGAAATGTCTGTGATGTCCAGACATGAGGAGTGTGCAGTCTAGAGAATGGTGTGATGGCCCCAGGTGCCTGGAATTGAGACTTCTGTGACCTTGGTCATACAGAGGATTACCTGACACTAGCATTGGATGCTGCTTTGCCAAGCCTACAGTTGCATGTCTCTTTGTGTCATTGCCCTTGTGCCTGGTGGCTGAACAATCTTCGGGCCTATGAGTAGACAGTGATACCAATGACACCAGGGCCTGGTTTCTCCTCTGAGATATGGAGCTTGGAAGAAGATGGGCATGGGGTAGATGAGGATGGATTGTGGAGCTTCAGGAGTGGACTGTTTATGATGTCATCTCTCCCCACCCCGGCAGGGCACTGTGACCTTTGAGGATTGGATTTCTATTTCTCCTCAAGAATGGGATCTCCTTGATGAGGTTCAAAGATGCTTGTACCCTGATGTGATGGTGGGAAAATTGGCACTTATACTTCTCTGGGTAAAGTCTTTACACCTGCTTCTGTGCTCTGAGGTAGCCTCTGCCCTTCCCTTCCTCCTCAGCAGCATATCAGGACTATAGGCTCAACTTCCTCCCCAGTTCCCTTGGTAGGTGCTTTGATTTCAGGGCTGCAGTGTGAACACTGCTCTTTTCTTGGACAACCCCAGCTTCTGTGAAGCCCATGCCTGGCTGTAGAGGATGCAGGTTGAGGGGGCTTGCAGTCACCCTAATGGGTCCCCCTTACTTCCCTCTTGCTGACAGTGGCCTTCCCATATCCAGTGCCCCATGTCTTCTAGGTACTGCTTCCCATTTATAACTAACATCTCCTCACCCTGCCTGTGCAGCACTGCTGGTACCTAGGTGCTGGCTCCTCAGTAGACCATGAGCTGTTCTTTCAGCATCCTCCCTGAAGTTCTTTTGTGATGATGTTTTCCTTTCCTGCAGGCTGCTATGTGCTGAACTATGCTGGCTGGTGTCCCCTTGCCTCTCCTGTTTTTCTCTTACTACCTGCATCATCTGGATGCAGTGTGATTTTTTTTTTTAATCCTGTGGTGGTATGTATAGTTCATATCAGTAATTCATATCTGGGCCCTGGGTCTCACCTATGTCTCTCCATGCTGTCTGCATGGTTCTCTAGCATCAGCTTCTTCATGTTTGGTCCTGAGGTGTGCACACATTCTTATTTGGTCCTGAGCACTGGAAGCTGTGTTGTGATGGTTTTCTTGGATATACCCACCTGCATAGCCCTGGGTGTCAGCAGCAGACAAGGTCCTGACAAAGTTATTTACAGAGGAACAAGTCGTAGGCCCTGCCTCTCCTGTGTCACACCTGCAATTGTATCTCTGGCCTCCTAAGGCTTCCCCCATTCTGTGACTGTCAGGGCCCAGTTTTGCTAAGCAGTTCATTCTTATCCTCAACACCAACTCCTTGTCCTTTAAGCAGTCTCATAGACTTGTTCCTGGGAGCATTACACATGCAAGAAATGTTTGTAATGGAGCTGTCTCCTTCAACGGCATCAATATGTATTTCATTATTTCTTTCTTTCAGGTTGGTGGTGTGGAATAGAGGACGAGGAGGCAACTTCTGAGCAGAGTGTTTCTGTAAGAGGAAGTGTCACAGATTATGACTCCCAAGTCAGTTCTATCTCTCCAAGAGACCAACCTCTGTGAGATGTGTGGCCTTATCTTAAAAGACATCCTTCACTTGGCTGAGCATAAGGAAGCACACCACAAGCAGAAAATGTGCATGTGTTGAGCATGTGAGAAACAATTCTATTTCAGTACAAATTTTCAGCACAAGAATCAGCATATTGAAGAGAAGCCATTCAGAAGTGATATGGGCAGAACCTCATTTGTGAAGAACTGTAAATTCCATGAACCAGGAAGGCCTTTATACACAGGGAGGTTGGAAGTGATTTCCTGACCAGCTTGGAATTTCTCCATCAACAGTCTTCTTCCTGTGGAAAAGTCAAATAGCAAAACCAAGTATGGTGCTGCCTCTCGCAGGAGAAAGCTCATTGTAACTGGGAAGAATGTGATGAAGTGTTCATCCCCAAACACACACTTACTTGTTCAGCATTAGAGAGTCCTCACTAGAGAAAGATGTTACATGTGCAGAGAGTGTGGGGAATCCTTTACCCACAGCTCCAGTCTCATTAAATACCAGAGTACACACTGGAGAAAGACCTTAGAAGTGCTCAGAGTGTGGCAAGTCCTTTAGCCAAAGCTCTAACCTCTTTCAACATTGGAGAGTTCACACTGGAGAAAGGCCTTATAAGTGCTGTGAATGCAGTAAATCCTTTAGCCAGAGCTGCAGCCTCAATAACCATTGGAAAGTTCACCCTGGATAGAGGCCTTTTGAGTGTGGGGAATGTGGGAAATCTTTATCCAAAGATCCAACCCAATCTAACATCACAGAATTCACACTGGACAAAGGCTTTTTAAGTGTAGTGAATGTGGGAAATTCCTTAGCCAGAGCTCTGCACTCCTGCAGCAGCATAGTATTCACACTGGAGAAAGGCCTTATTATAAGCAGTTCATTCTTATCCTCAAAATTCTTTACCTACAATTCCAGTGTTCTAAACTACCAGAACATTCACACTGGATGAAGGCCTTATCAGTGCAGTGAATGTAGGAAATCCTTTGGTCAGTACTGCAGCCTTATTCTACACCTGAGAGTTCACACTGGAGAAAGGTCTTATGGGTGCAATGAATATGGGAAATCCTTTAGCCAAAGGTCTGCACTCCTTAAACACCACACAGTTCATACTGAAGAAAGGCCCTATGAGTGCAGCAAATGTGTACTTCAACTTCAGAGACCATAGGAGAGTTCACACTGGAGAAAGGCCCTAGAGGGTCTTAAGTGTGGAAAATCTTATCCAAAGCTCTGGCCTCATTCAACACCAGATTTCACTCTGGAGTAGGGCCTTATAAATGTTTTGAATATGAGCAAGCTATCAGCCAAATGCCTTTCCTCAGGTACCACAAAGTTCACATGGGGAAGACACCTTAATGTCCTGGAAGTTGGGTGCTTTCTTGTTTAATGCAATGGCACTGGAGGAAATCCCTTAGGATGCCATTTGCCTGAACTGAACCTGATTCATTCACACGTCCACATTAATTCCAGGTGTGGGGGAAGCTTGAAGCTTTGTGCTGCACTTCTAAATCTGTCCAGGGTCTTTGCCCAAGTGTTAGTCACCTTCAGTACTGTAACTGAAGCCGTGTGGCCTCTATCACCTGCCAGGCGCCCACAGTGTGTGTTGGTACTCCTATTGCATAGAGAAGTGGTTAGTCTTTGCTTTCCCAACCCAGAGCAGGATTTGTGAGATGACAGCATTCACTCCCAACGTGTTAAGGTCTGGGTCTGACTCAGGTTTGGCCCCAAAGACCTGGTTGAGTCCTGCTTGTGAGAAAAGATAGACTACGTTAAAAGATAGACTACGTTTTCCAGAGATACTGTCTTTCATGACCAGTGATGAGTTTTGTGGCCTTTACCTGACCAACCTGAGGAAAAACCTGCCTCTTGTTTCTCTGCTTTGTGTGATGATAAATTTCTTTTTTAAAAAAATTGTTTGTAGATGGACACAATACCTTTATTCGCTTATTTTTATGTGGTGCTGAGGATTGAACCCAGTGCCTCACACATGCTAGGCAAGCGTGCTACCACTGAGCTATAACTGCGGCCCCAATGTCTTATCTCTTAAGCCACCTTTAATCTTGGGAGCCCTATTCACTTTATTGAGTGATTTGAAAACAGTAGAGTTCTGTCACAATGAAAGCAGCAGCAGCATTTGAGAGCATTCCACATGTATGCCTCAGGGTATTATGGCAGAAAGTAATTCTTCTGTTTGGGCCTGATTTGTGTTTCTCCCCAAGCCTCCAAGGAAAGCACCATGGACCTAACTTACAGCCTGGCTACTGTGGTACTTTGTGGCTTCTGAGCTCACTTGGGAGGTGACTGTGAAATTTCAGTACAGTGTGAAATTTGTTCACAGGTGTTATTGTGTGATTCCCTTGAGAGAAATCTCTTTCCCTTGTCCTGCAAAGGAGCCATGAGTCCTAGGATAGCACCAATAGTTGCAGTGTGGGGCAAGGGACCGTGATTGTTACATGAACACTGGATTAATAGGTAGTGGAAAGGGGAAGGAGCAGGTTGAGAGGGTGGGGTCAGGGCCAGTGACAGAGGGGATGGGGCACTGGGATGCAGCTCAATGGCTAATGACACCATGGGGCTGTAATGGCTGGAGGGAGGGACAAGGGTGATGGGGCATTGCTTTTCAGGGCCTATCACCCAATCCAAGATGGCCTCTTACAGCTCTCTTCTCTCTCTGTTTCTGTGTAGGCATGGTGTTCCAAGCCATGTTTGCTCAAGCCCTCGGGGCCAGGCTGGGGCATGGTGGAGTCCTTCGAAATATGCTTGTTTCTCCCACATATGTGGTCCTGTTGAGACCCTCAATCTTGGAGGGAGCCCAGTCACCAGGACTTTCTGTTTGGCAGTTTCTGCCCTAGAAGGGCTACTCCACTGTCCTAGGTCCAAATGAGAAGTTACCGTTCTGCCTCCTCACCTTCATCTTTTGGAGTCAGCACTTTGCCCATGTGTGGCTTGGATGGATTACTTCTCTCCAGGACATACCTGGACCCAGGGTCACCCTGGTCATATAAGCAAGATTGGAGGTGTGGGAGTCTCATGATTGTACTGTCTGCATTTGAAATGCAATCTTTGAGGCAGGGAAGGATTCTGAACGAGCATTTGACTAGTCTGATAATTCAGTGACAAATTGGGGAGAAAGCACAGAGATCTAGTTCCCTGAGTTTGCTTGTTTTTGCTAACATCACAGTTGCTATCTGATGTGGCCTCAAGGATGAGCTGGTACTTGACTTAGCCTTAGACTGGGAGCAGACATCTGAGCAGAATAAACTTGGTGAGCGGTGGGAGATGTCCCTGAGCCCTTGGCAGCAGAGACAGCAGCTTTGGAAGCCCCAGTCTGACTTTACTCACCTGGCAGAACACACTTGCTGATACAGTGAGGCCTCTGAGTCACATCTGGATGAGGCCATTAAAAATTGTTGACAAGTGGCCCAGTCACAAATTTCAGTGACTCCGATGACACAACGGTAGCCAAACAGCACCCAGCTTTCAATGCCATAGTTAAAAGAATAAGCAACATTCTTGGCACGAATCTGATTTCTTTACTGAAAATGCACCTTGTCACCACTCAGTTGCCAGGAGAAGGTGGCTGCCAGCCTTCAGAGAACCTGAAAGTTCAGACTGGAGCTCTGAGAGAGGCTGCCTGTTCAAGTCTACTAAGGAGCAGTGTTGTCCTGCTGGAAGGAGAATACTCCCTGGACCTCACTGGGCCATGGTTGTGTGAATCAGCAGAAAGCAGCACTTTCCTAAGCAAAATAGGAAGGAAATAAAGAATAGAGTATGAAGCAGATAAACAAAAAACATATCAGAATGGGAAACCAGCAGTTTGTGTAGCAACAGTGACACTGGGCTCTTCATCAATAGTGAAGAATGGCAAGGAGATGAAGAGAGTCACTGTCCCTAATCTCCTGCCCAGTGGACTCCTGGTCATTGCTTAAGTAGAAAAAAATGGATTCTGAACTGGATAAATTTTTAGATTCCACATTCCTTTTACTTTCTTGACCTTCTCAAAGAGGATACCATGCTGATTTGAATTGTGTGCCAGGAGCTGCAGTGTGATGCCTCAGAAGTGGGAAAGAAAGCTGGTTGGAAGAATTCATCTGGTTCTTAGCAGTCTTTCTCATTTTTGCACATAACTGAAAGTGGCCATCACAAGGGATAGAATTCTAAGTTGAGGAAGATGAACTAAAGACCAGAAAAAACTTATTTTTAGGTGTGACTATGCATCAAAACATTAGAAGTAATGCTTGGTGCAGTGGTGCACACCCATAATTCCAACTACTCAGGGGCTGAGGCAGGAGGATTGCAAGTTCAAGGCAAGCCTCAGCATAATTTGTTGCATAATAAGCAACTTAATGAGACCCTAGATAGGCATGTAGCTCAGTGGTAATGTGCCCCTGTGGTCAATTCACAGTACATGCGCACGCACGCGCACACACACACACTTTCTAAACACATAGTTTGAGTAAATTATACCTCAAACTATTTTAAAGATATAAAAAAGCTTCTTATTCATTTTACTATATTTCATTATTTTCTATGCACTTGAGCTTTTTTTGTGCCTACTATATAAATATGGTAGAAACAATACATTGGTGTGCTACTGATAACTTTCTCAAATTCCATGTTCTGCAGTGACATCATGTGACAAATGGAAATTAGCCATGATGGGAGATTTTACATCAAGGAATGTGGCAAAAGATTCAATGAATTATCTAGAATTAGAAAATGCTGGAGAATATGCTAATAATACAAATTGAACTTTAAAATATATGTAGATGTGATCATTGCATTGTGTATAAGGCATATACACAAAATTAGGCACTACGCATTCAGGATTGCAGTTAAAAATTCACATTATTGAAGCATAGGGTCTAACATACATCTTTGTATTTTTTTCTATCAACTTATTTGTTGATAAAAGGGAATATAGCTAAAACTCATTTTTAGTCATACAAAAGTTATGAATATATTTTATCAAAAACATTCTGGTTGTAAATAAAAAATGCTCAGTATAATAAAACACCAGGGAAATGGTACTAAACTACATTATTACACTGCTACACATTTACTCTTAAAAAACTAACCATATCCAGTGGATATGAAGAACCAGAACTCTCATACACTGCTCATAGGAATCCAAAGAAAACAAGCATGTGAGATCAGAGTTCAGCAATTCTTAAAAGGTTATACATTCACCTACTCTGTGACTCAGGCATTAACACAAGAGAAATTAAACACATCCTTGGAAAAGTGTTTGCAGCAGCTTTTATTTGCAATAAATCTAAAACTTGTTGTAAACAACCAAAATATCTATGACCAGATGAATAAATAAAAAGTAGGTTATAGCCATATAACCTCATACTTCTCAGCAATAAAAAATATCCAGACATCCTCATGTTCCTGTTGATGGGCAGAGTCACAGCTTTGGGGACAGGAGTACCCAGTGTTTCTTCTTTGCAGCAAAGCCACAAACCTTTTTCCTTTCTCTTAAAAAACAAAAATCCCACTCATATAAGCAATACTGATAAATCTCATATATGCTGTTTGAATATACCCAGGGGAAAAAGCATGAGAACTTAAAATGATTTCAATAACATACAATTCCAGGATATGAATGAATCTATTGTTGTACAGGTGAAAGTCTGAATTTGTTTTTGAAAAAATCAGGATTGACGATGTTGACTCCATCACCTTTCTCCTCATGCCCTGGGGGACCTCTTGCCTCAGTGGTAACAAACATAGCTAAGAGGTGAAGACTGTTTCCTCTGGACTTGGCAGGAATACTGCCTGCTCACAGAGGCCATGTAAGTGGACCAAGATCTCCCTTCTTAGAATCCTTATTTTCCTGTCTGCACAGTACAGCCTTGAGATGAGCAGTCTCTGACAATAACTTCAGCTACACAAGATACGGTCCTAAGTATTTCTGACCTCATCTTTCATAGCCAGAGTGACTAACATTGTGGATACCCATGTAAAAGAGGCACCTTCCAATCAGTTTGTGGTAGTCTCTTCCACTACCTATTAATCCAGTATTTCTGTTAACAACTATAATCTTACAGCTTGTGATGCTATCCTATGGAACTCAGAATGTCAGGGCATACAGATCCATGCAGGGCCTGACAAACAGGAACCCCAGCCAATACTGAGCTTGAGGCAACATCCCTTTGAAAAGGAAAATAAGTTCATGTTGCTCTCAGAAGCATCAGATTGTCACTACCTCTCCCGACTTCAAACAGCACCCTGCAGGTTTTCCTGGAAGCCTCAGGCAGCAATACAGAAGGCCCAAGCCAGAAAGAGCTGTATCCTGCCATCATTCCACTACCCTCCCTAGGGACACAAAGTTTGGGATCCCAACAAACTTGTTCACCCAAAAGATCCCAATTGTTTTCAAAGAACTACATTCAGTAAATAGAATTCCCCCAAATAACTGGTGCCTCAACCAATAAAGATTTTATTATCAGACAACCGGAGCAATGAGACACAGGTGGTTCCCACACTTGGTGATTCTGTGGTAGGAAAAATTCCATCAAGAGTCTCATGAAACCAACAATATTTCTGAAAAAGGTCCACCTTCCTAAGTCAACAGCACAGTCCTTGTGGCATGGACTAACTCATCAGAGAGAAAAGGGGATGAATGCTTAGCCTACGTACAGATCCTTTTCACAGGCGGGAGAGCCCTGTTTCACTGGGGTGGGTGGATGGTGCATGCTGTGGGCACCTTCCAGCAGGTAGAGTTGAGCTTTCAGTGGCATGAATTTGGCACGGGGCCCAGGCAGGTTAATGAGTGCAGCCGAGCTCCCACATACCTGGAATGTGAGTGGATGCTTGGATGTATGTGGTCCTATTCAGGCAGTGGCACCACCAAAACCCTTCAAGAACTGGTATAATGAACAATAACATATCCATGCACATCAAAGGTATATTTCTCATATGAACTTTGTGGTATCCACTGAGATAAGGCTTTCAGCTGAATGTTTTCTCAAGTTCACTGTTCTCACTAGGACTTTTCTAAGGTGAATTTTCAAGTTTGTAGAGATTGGATCTTCAGCTAAAGGGTTTTCCATATTTCCCACAGGCCTTTATCGAGTATGAATTCGCCTGTGTTTAATGAGGCTAGAGCTATGGCTAAAGGATTTCCCACATTCATTGCACTCATAAGGTCTTTCCCCAGTATGAACTCTCTTGTGTTTAATGAGACTGGAGTTTTGAGTAAAGGATTTCCCACATTCACTGCACTCATAAGGCCTTGAACCAGTATGAACTCTCTGGTGTTTTTGGAGACTGGAACTATAGGTAAAGAATTTCCCACATTCACTGCACTCATAAGGCCTTTCTCCAGTGTGAACTCTACGATGCTGAAGGAGTGCAGAGCTCTGGCTAAAGGATTTCCCACATTCATTGCACTTAAAGGGCCTTTCTCCAGTATGAACTCTCCTGTGTTCAATAAGGCTGGAATTTTGACTGAATGATTTCCCACACTCACTGCATTCATAAGGTTTTGATCCACTATGAACTTTCTGGTGCTTTATGAGACTCGAATGATATGTAAAGAATTTCCCACATTCACTGCATTCGTAAGGCCTTTCTCCAGTGTGCACGCTCTGGTGTTGAAGAAGTGCTGAGCTCTCACTAAAGGATTTTCCACATTCACTGCACTCATAAGGCCTTTCTCCAGTGTGAACTCTCCGATGTTTGATGAGGTTGGACTTGTTGCTAAATAATTTACCACATTCCTCACATTCATGAGGTCGCACTCCAGTGTGAACTCTCCGGTGCTGAATGAGGCTAGAGCTCTGCCTAAATGATTTCCCACACTCCCCACACTCATAAGGCTTTTCACCAGTGTGAACCCTCCAGTGGTCATTGAGGCTATAGCTTTTGCTAAAAGATTTCCCACACTCACTGCACATATAACATCTTTCTCTAGTGTGGGTTTTCTGCTGCTGCACAGTTGTGTGTTCATGGCTGCATGTCTGTATGTATTCTCTATAGTCAAAATGAGTTTTTCCATTGTGACAGACAGTCCCCAAATTACTTTTGCCATTTGACTGTTCCTCAATGCAAGTGGCTGGTTGATGGAGAAATTCTGAGCTGGCCAGGAAGTCCTTCCCAACTTCTATGCAGGCAAAGGGTTCCCTTGATTCATAGAATTTGTACCTCTTCATAAATAAGGCTCTTCCCACATTGCTTTTGAAGGGTTTCTCTCCAAAGTGCTGATCAATGTCTGCAGAGAAATACAACTGTTTCCCAGATGCCCCACATCTGTACAGTTTTTGCTGACAATGTGTTCCCTGTTGGTGATGAGTTATGTGCAAAATGTCTCTCAAGACCAGGCCATACATCACACAAGGAGGAGCCTTCTGGGGAGACAGACCTTCATTTGAAGTCCTTACTTGGGACACATCTTCTAAAGAAATATCCTGCTCAGAAAGATCCTCCTCATTCTCCATTCCATGCCAACAATCTGAAAGCAAGAAATGCTAGTCAAAGTGCTAGTGGGAAGGGGCAACTGCTACAAGCCAAGGAGCAAATCCATGGGATTGTTTGTAAGACAAGGGAGTTGGGTTCTGGTTGAGAATGAGGGGCTCAGCAATAGTGGGTTAGAAAGATGACAGAATGGGGGAGAGTTGATGAGGCAAGGGACACACCATGTGATGTGACAGAAAGAGAAGAGGGAGAATTTGAAACTTTATCCTCTGCAAACAACTTCCTGCATAACCTTCTCTGCTGATGATACCTAAGTGTTGTATGGAATGGTGTATCCAGGCCCAAGAAAAATATATGCCTTTAGTAGAGCAGCTGGCCTTTACGGACAGTTTAAGGATGTATGCTTATTTCATGACACAATATATAAAGGCCAATGTTGGAGAGCACTGTAGAAGTGGGAGTTCAGAAATGTGTAAATTAGCTGCAGGCTGGATATGAGAGTAGAAGTGACAAGTAGTGGAGCTGACAAATTAAAAAAGTATCAAAATGACAAAGGAAAAACAGAAATGAGCTCCAGCCACTGGCACTGGCACCAAAACACTACTCAAACAGAATATATATCTGCTACGATGCGAGCACAGCTTTCAAATCATTTTCTTAACCTGGGCAGTCTTCCTCTCAGTTCCTCTTGATGTTGTTTGTGAACCAATGAGGACTATTTACCTCAATTCCAAAATGATACAAAAACATGGCACTTAGGGATACAAGTACTAAGGGAAAGATGGGAAACAAGAGCAGCCAGCATTGACCCAGAAAAAATTTAGCACACGATAGCCCAGAGAAATAAAACAAATATTAGAAAGAAAATTTCAAAGAAAGGTCTTGTAAGAATAGTACAGTCCCTGTAAGTATGAGCATTTCAGTGGCATGATCCCTGGTACAGGCAGTCATAAGGAAACATTGGTTAGAAGAAGGAAGCAGAACCTGGCGCACATAGAGGTGTCAAAGCTGGACAAAGACATCGAATCATGGAGAGGGAAAGAAGGCAGGATGCAGCAACGTGACTGCAAGGCTTCTGATCCCGAGTCTCCTTGTGAGGCTACAGGGAAACAGAGTTGGGGATGCTTAGGCAAAGAAAAGCAGTACACATCTCAATCCTACTAACCACAGAACCTACCCAGGGAGCAGAGGGAAGTAGAGCCAATGGTCCTGTGTGAGGACAGACCTGCCTCTCAGAAAAAGGGCGAGAAAACAGACTTGCTCGGGGCTCATGGGTGGGTGTCAGGAACTTACCCAGGGAAGTTATAAGGGCCAAGTTCTCCACCATCACATCACGGTACAGGCATTGTTGAGCCTGGTCAAGGAGATTCCATTCTTCACAAGAGAAGTGTATGGCTACATCTTCAAAAGTTATATTGCCCTGCCATAATGGAAGAAAATCAAACCACAAATAGTCCCTTCCCTGAGGACACACAATCCATTCCCCCACATATTTATCTCATGCCCATTCCATGCCCAAGCTTCCAATTGCCACTGTACTCTTATGGGTTCACTGATCACCAGGCACAGCATCAACAACAGGAAGGTGGACAGATAACTTAGCTAGGTACCTGGCACAGAAGTATTTGCCCTTGCCCCTTTGTACCCAAGATCATGTCAGTCTCAATACAGGACCCCAGGACAGTCAGAGTTACTTGCTGTCCAAGTGCACATCATTCTTTACACATCCCTCGTAACTAGAGATACCAAAGTCCCATGGACAAAACAACTTCACTGTCCTACACCTCATCTTCCTGATTTCCTTACTTGCTGTCCAAGTGCACATCATTCTTTACACTACACATCCCTCATAACTAGAGATACCAAAGTCCCATGGACAAAACAACTTCACTGTCCTACACCTCATCTTCCTGATTTCCTTACCTCCTCTTCACACCATTGGTGGAGGTAAATTCTCACCCTAGGTTATGGGGATGACCAAACATACAATATCTGATACTGGATAGATTAACGACAATCCTTGTAGAGGACAATGTATATCACTTAAGACTACATAGAGGTATGGTCCAGAAAAATTGAACCAGGGGCTGTGGGATGCAAATTTTTTTAGGACCAAAAGGGTAAGATAATCCCTGGTCCCCTCAATTGATATGTTTGGGTAACTACGTGGGCTGGTAAGGAGGTAAAATCTGCTACAAAGGAATAAGCAGAAATTATGTCTGGTCCCCTTCATATAAAAAATTGTCTATGTGGAGATATTATTAGCTGGAGAAGAGTGAGGACAGGAACTTATATTCAGTTTACTTGATATCATCCGAATTTCACCAGCTGTCAAAACACCACACAATACTTGTAAAGGCACACAACACTCTCAGTATGCTTGACAAATATGAACAGGATCAAAAACTGCCCTGCACTTCTCATAGTTTCCACTAGTGGTGGCAGACAAGGTTATATCAAGTCCCCTGCCTGGCTCCAGTTTTTGCCCCAGACTTAGCCACACTGGCCATGTGTTCATCTCAAATACTCATGACCCTACTCTTCTCATGTCTGTACCAGATATCCAACTTTTCTCTATATACCTAACACTTTAAGATCTGTTCCACTCTTCATTCAACCCCAGGCAAGTGACTATCACAGACGTGATTACATCTGCCCCTGGCTTTATCTTCCAGGCAGAATGAAACACTAGGCCCCACTAAAGTCACTACCTAAAATCCTAGCAATTCCATAGATTGGACACCAAGTCCAGCCAAAGTGTCATCTTGCCTCAAATATACCTATACCTCGCAACCATCCCACATCCATTCCTCCGGTGAAAGCCTATGCTACTTGCAAAACATCCTGTTTGCTACCTCCTACTTTCATGGCCACTCACCTCCTTTACCTCTATTCCCATAATGTATTTGTAAAGCCTATTGCCATCAACTGGAAACTGAACCAAGAGGCACTGTTCTTGGCTCCATCCAACCCTGCCAATGCCCCCTATGCCTTCCACCATGAATCCTCAATGTGATTCACAGCTCACTAACTTTAGTCCACAACAACCACATTTTGAATGTCTCCATTGTCAACCACTTACCAGATTTCCACATCAGTGTATTCAGCTCCCCACTTAATTCTGCCTCTCTGGTGGAAACATCTCTACACTCTTAACATAGCCAAATCAAAACTCCTGATGTCCCAGTGAATATTATTATTAATACCATCTTCTCCATCTCAGTTAATTGAAACTGAATTCCCTCAAAAACTACAGGGTCATTCCTGAATCCTGTTTCCTCAATGTCCCAATTAGAAGTTGCCTTTTAAAAGAACTTCACATCCAAAATGTAATCTATAACGGTGGTCCATTAGCCTCACCTGGAGTATGGCCGGAGCCTCCACCCTGATCTTCCTTCTCCCTCAACCCCTGTCTGTTCTCCACTCTGCAGGCGATGGAGACTAGTCAGACTTCTGACCCTAACTTCCCACCGCCTGCAGCACAGTCACCCAACTTTCCAGGCACATCACAATCCCTACCCGCGGCTTCCTGAACATTCCCAGGTCAGGCTCCCCTCCACTCATCCGCAAACCTCCAGGTGTCAGTTCCAGGGAGGAGCTCCATAAGGTCCTGGCGTGGCCTTAGGACCCTAGGCTTGGAGTTTATCCAAGGTCCCACACCCAAGAACTAGAAAAATGGCACTGAAGTCACACGACGCAGGAGGCAGCAGCAGGCTGGCGGGGCGCATGCACTCCCCGAGGAGGGTCCTTAAGCCCGTCTGGGCCATGGAGCCACGAGAAGGGGCAGCCTGACTTCTGGGATGGCGGAACGCTCACCCTCGCACCCCGCCTGGCCCTGAAATGGGGTGGCCGGGCTGGCTGCCTCCCACCTCGTGCTCACGGCCGCGGGACCAAGAAGTACGCCCCGCGCCCCCACGAGCTCGTCGCCCTTCCACCGGTTCCTCCTGTGAAGTCGCTTCAGAGAAACGTCTGAAACCCAACAGACGGCGAGGCCTCTAAGCCCCCGGCGCGCGCCCCGGCTGGTCACTCCGGCCCGTCCCCACAGGACAAGGCGGGCCGCGCATACCCCCGCCGAGCCGCGGCGCTCACCCGCGCGGGGTCCCCCGGCGCGGCCGCCGCCATTGGACTCTCCCCGGGCGGGCGCGGTCACGGCAGCCCCGCGACTCTGCGCAGGCCCGCGGGGCGCCCTCCGCCCCACCGGGCGCTGGTGGACACATCCGAGCAACGTCAAAATGGCCGCCTCCTAGGAAACGCCGGAAGTCCCGCCCTCCCGTTGTGCGTTCATGGAAACGCCCACTTCCTGAACTGTCATTGGCTCAGGCGTAGCTGCACAGTGCAGAGCCTTCTGGGTAATGCAGTTTCCTAGCTCCAGAGGTCACGCATAGGGGTGGTGATCATTTGGAGTTCAGGCTAAGCTCCAGGGACCAGCACAGAGGAAAGGACTCCTCCCTTCTGAAAGCGGAAGGGGCAGTAGCTAAGGAGTCTTGTCTGCAGCTGGTAGCCCAAGTGTTTAGAAACTTAAAATTTTAAACTCTGTTAATGTTTATAGCAGCTCAATTCACAATAGCTAGACTATGGAACCAACCTAAGTGTCCCTCAATAGATGAATGAATAAAGAAAATATGGTATATATACTCAATGGACTATTACTCAGCTTTAAAGAAGAGTGAAATTATGACTTTTGTCAGTAAATGGTTGGAGTTTGAGAAGATCATGCTAAGCAAAATAAGCCAATCCCATAAAACCAAAGGCTAAATGTTTTCTCTAATATACAGAAACTAATTCACAATAAGGTGGGGGGCACTAGGGAAGAATAGTGTTACTTAGGTAGAGGGAAGTGATAGGAGGGGAGGGGATGTGGGGATAGGAAAGATAGTATATTGAAACAAACATTATTACTTTATGTATATATGTGACTGCATCACCAATATGATTCTACAACACGTGCACTCAGAAAAATGAGAAATCATATACCATCTATGTATATAAAAGTGCATTCTACTGTCATGTATAACTAATTAAGACAAATTTAAAAATTAAAAAAAAACTCAGTATGCACCTAGAAGTCAAATTTATTATTTCAGATGCTCCCAAAAGTTATGGATCCAAATACATATTTTATAGAGTCACTCACACAGAGAATGTGTGCCCTCCTAGGGAAGCTTAATAAAAATTATTGTATTGCAATTAAAATGCTTCATCCTGAAGCACTGAAGTCAGTTGGTCAGCTTGTGTGCTTTCTGTTAGGGGCAAGAATGAAAATAAAGAGTGGGGCTGGGGATGTGGCTCAAGTGGTAGTGTGCTCGCCTGGCATGTTTGTGGCCCGGGTTTGATCCTCAGCACCACATACAAACAAAGATGTTGTGTCTGCCAAAAACTAAAAAATGAATATTAAAAAATTCTCTCTCTCTTTAAAAAAAAAGAGTGGCATAGACATGCCTCTATATGATAGAGGAGGAATTTGAGGCCACACTGAAGCAGTAGTACAAAAGTGGATTTGATTGTGGCTTGCACAGAAAACATCTTTCCTGCCTACACAGTCAGTAAACAGTGTCCAATTCATTGAGCAATGCTTTTTTCCACTTAAACACTCTTACTTGAGATCTGAGACATAGTCACTTCCTTTCAGAAATCTAAGATCAATCTCAAAAATAAAATAAAATAAAATAAAATAAATGCTCTTTTGCTAAGGGAAAATGAGAGATGTGGTGCTTTTTAAGAGGGTCAGTGAGCATACATTTGAAGGAAGTGAGGGATGAGCTATGTGTGTATTTTGGAATAAGTTACAGGTAGAAGAAGCAGATGAGAAGGTGGTCTATGTGGTGGAGATTTCACAGGACTATGTAGCAGTGGGAGGCTTGAGACTCCACCCTACTGAGCCTTTATCTGCCTTGTCCATTGCAGAGACATTCAGGGCATGTGGCTTAGAATCCTTGGCTTTGGCCCTTGGGACCTGCACATGTACACTATTGTGTGCGCTAGCCCTGGAACTAGACATCATCACCTTTCCTACTGCAGTGATTCTCCTAGTTTGATTCCTGGATGTTCGCCATCAGTGTCACTAGCAGACTCATGGGAAATACACATTCTCAGTTCTGAACCCAGACCCAGTGAATCAAGAACTCTGTGAGTCAAGTTCAAATGTCAATTCACTGAAAAGATTTTTATTCATTTAATAACTCTTACTTGCTATCTGAAACACACTTTAACCAGTTTTTAGATTATTTTGTTGAGCATTTAGTAAATTTTATTTTTTCTGATGTGATTCCTGCAGAACCAGGTGCCTGAATTTCTGTAATTAGCAGGAATTCTGTATAAAGCTGCAAGGAAGAAAAGTGATCTATTACATATTTGTTTTTCTAATAAGTTTTTCAATTGTTTATTGAAAGGATACTACACTATATAAAATTATACAATGGAATGTCAAAGTCTCAGATATGTCTACATTCTGTGTAAAAATGTTAGTAGTATTGTGTCTGCACATGGATCCATTTCTCTCTCTGTGTATCCATATTGTTAAATGAACAGGAGGTCATTAGTCTGAGATTGTCTCTCTACTCTCTACATATAATAAACTGCAACCTAACTTAATACACAAACAAACCAAAAACCTAAGCTACAGGTATCACAACGGCCAATCACATGCTGTTGGGTTTTATCCAATCATACTAGTCAAGCAACTCATCAGACTATGCCTGAAAAAGGCCAACTGGCCTACTAGAGCCAACAGGGACTTCTTTACTGACCTATGGAAGCTCACAGCTCACACTGCTAGGGAGAACCCTCTGAACTCATTCTACTAGTTCAGGGCCTGCTCCACTCATGAATCTTTATATCATCAAATAAGCTGCTTACTTTAATTTGTCTAAAGGTTTTCTTTCAGCAATACATTCAAATATGTCTACATAAAATGATTTTCTTAGTAAAAAATAAATCATATTTTATAGCTTTTTACTTTACTTTTCTTGCTAGAAGAAGAAATGTTGGAAAACTTAAAGCTACTTTCTCATTTTAGACCTAAAACATCCTTATTTACAAACTTAGACCTAAATCTGCCTCTTTTAAAATTCTGCTTTGTATTTCATTATCTGAAATGCTTGATCCATGTGGGCCAGCTGAAAGCGAGAAGCCAGGTCCAACATAATGGTCCCCCAGGTCTCCCTAAGATGACCTTTCAAGGCTCCAGAAAACTCCATGGGTGTCTTTTGCCCAAGCTGTTTCTTATCAGAGCTTCCTGGGACAAAGTATGCCTAAATGTAAGCCTGGAGACCGGGACCCTGTTCCCACATTTAGGTTCAGCCTTGGTGTCTGTTGTGATGTCTAGGACCTGCAGTGGGGGCCTCATCATCCTCATCGTGTCCTGCCATGTTGATCAGTCTCAGGTGGGATGCAGTGCCTGGGGACACTTCTCTGGACATGACCTCTGATGTGAGGGTGAGGGTCTCAGCCTCTACACTGATGGAACCCAGAGAGCTGGCCTAACAAGGAGGGCCTGCTAAGAAGATGAAATAACAGGACTGACTATGATCATCTCAGGCCTTGGCTCTGAGCTCAGGTGCCTCCACCCTCTGATATTTGGGCTCCTCTCCTCTGTGCAGGCCTCTGTGTTGTCTATCATTCAAGATCTCAAAGAAGCTGCTTCAAATATTTTAGAAAGTTTTATAGTTATGCATAGCAGGAGTATAATTCAGCGAGCTAACTCAATTTCAGATATCTATATTAGTATATATTTTTGTGTTGTTCTCAGTGGTACATGTTAAATACATTTAATAAAATGTAAAGTTTGAGATATTTTGATATTATAAAGGTTTAAAAATTCTGTTCATTAATCAAAATGTTTTCATCATGTTTTCCCTTTTATGACCAGTGCTTCATGCAGTGTAATATCATTACAGTCAGTGAACAAGAGCTACAGCTCCCAAATTCTAGATAAAGTAGAATAGTAGTATCACAAGTCTCTCCATTTCAGTGAGCCTAAGCTTGCATATTCTTAATTAACCCAAGTCATATGTACAGATGCCAAAAAGTAAGAACCACTGGTGTAGAGTATTCACTTTTCAAAATAATACCCAGCCTATCTGTTCTGCATTAGTGCCTCAGATGATGAACATACTACAAATACTGATATAGGATATAGTTATAAATAATATAGGAAAAACATATCATACATGTGAATTGGCAAAATACATATTATTATATGATATATAATACAAGTACAACATATAGCATAAATAATACAATAAGAATTATCTGATAAAATTGAGTGTAATTTGTGTGTGTGTGTATATGTATATGTGTGTGTATACACACACACACACACACACACACACTAACCTCAAGTATTCAAGAGAGTGCCTTAAATTCCCAAACTGAGTTCCAAGTATTGTCAACAGGACAGAGCCTGAACTCATTGAATGAGTCACTACCGAGCTACAGTGGCAGAACTTGCTTGAAATATGGTTTCTGGAACTTGTCAAAAATCCTCGATCTGGCTTTCCCCAGGAAGCTGTTCCCAGACAGGTGATTAAGTGGAGCCACACTTCTGGAAACCCACCTGCAGGAGAGTGGCAAGAGGAAGCTGCAGGCCACTGGGTCTTGCTGAGAGATCCTCACTCCAGGCAGTAGACCCAGTGGAGAAACCTGAGGCCTGCAGGAGCCTGTGTCGGTCAAGTCACCCACACCTGGAAGTAGGACTGGAAAAGTCCAGTGCTCTTCAAGGGCCTTTCTGGACCATCACGAGAGCAAGCCAGACAATGACTTTTTTCTTCTAGATCCTTGAACTTAACTTTCATTTGTTATCTCATAAATGTCTAATATCTCCACCGAAGATCATAACAAATCATATTAAATATCCTTATATAATTATTCATGCTATGTTATTTTATGGGACAGAACAAGATCAATAATTCTCTTAAACACAAGGTATCACACACTTCCAGCAGAACATCTTGAACTTACTACTCACTTATAAATTGGGAAAGTAAAACTGGTTTTCTGGAAAGAATAGGAATATTTCAGATGTATAATCAGTTGCAAAAGATGTAAATTTCTTTCTCCAGTAGGAAAAGCAAAACTGAGAGGCACAGGCATCATTGCTTGTTAGCATAAAGTCGCCAAATGTCTGGAATCATGAAGCTGGAACAAAAGAGGGGAGCAGCAGAAACTGGATTGGATTCAAAACAGGAGAAATATAAAGAGGTAAATGGAGAAGAGGAGAAAAAATAGACCA